GGATGAGGAAAACGATAAGATATCTGGACCTCAGTTTTTCGCGCATATTATTATACGATTATTTCGAGGCGTTTTTGCTTTTCGCCTAGTCAATGAAAACATTTATCGGCCTTCTTTTCTTTTAGGCTTGAACGAAAACTGTGATCCCACCGTAGACAACTGCCCCGTTTCCAATCCAATAGCAAATGTTCTTCAAGTGCTTTACCTCTTCTTTGCTCTGGTCTTGCTGATTAACCTCCTGATCGCGGTCTTTAGGTGAGCAGCTGTGCGTTGCAGTTGATGCCAAAATTATGATTAATTCATTGAGTAACGATCCATCAACTGTGTTTAAACTTCTACGGCGTCGACTATTGCCCTAAGCTGGTTGCTGTAGTTCCCAACTAACAACATATACCCAGAGGTCTACCTTGAACACTACTAAAAAAGTACAGTTTCTTCATTTGTAGCAATTTAGGAAATTTAGTCGTCCATTCTTCCTAAGAGGGTAATTTATTGGTCCTCTACTTTCGTAGTCTGACGTAGGTTGTCTCTGTATTAACTTAAAACCTGCTTGTGGCTGAGGGTCAATAAAATCGCTTTTCCCCTTTGTCGAAGGCGTCTTCCAACCGTGTCGTTTTGTTGTATAGGCAATATCTGTAAGTGGGATCTATTTAATAGGACACCTCGACCGTGGAGTTCCACTATGCCCACCACAGGCTTAAATAGCCTGAAATTGAACGCGATAACTTGCGTATGAGGAGTTAGTTTTAAGGTATGGTCGGCTCGCACTGTATCTACCACGCTTTATATTCAAGTCAAGTCAAGTTTCTTGAAGGAAATATAGGCAAACGCCTTTGAACTACCGAATGGTACATAGTGTTTAAGAAATGCATCGGCACAGCCAAAAATTCCAAAGAAGTGGTTGACACAATTGTAGGCGACTACTCGCTTGGTTCAAGTAATACACTCACATGTGGTGATGTCGTAAACACGAACCAGCAGTGTAACTGAACAAGAAGAGCAGACAGGAAAAAAAACTCCTAAGGCATGGCTCATAATTCATAGTGGAATGTCATTTGTGGTTTTTAGGAGAAAAATTGTTGCTCGAGGGAGAAAGTACGTAAAAGATAGAACCAGCATGCTGCTGTGAATGTTGGCGGCAGCCATATCGTCCATGACGAGTAATATCTATATCCGAAGGGCCACACGAGGAGGCGACCTCAGAGTCATGAGAACGTCCCCAAGAACCGGAGATGCGACCATGATACGCCCTTGCTGTGACAAGAACAGAGGAACCCGCCACGTCGTCAGCAGTAGGTGTTTAGGTCGATACGAGAAAGAGCGTAACAGGGCCGCGTAGCCTAGGACCATAGGTGCGGTAGATACGACTGCAGACGCGATGAGCGCAATTCGCATAGTGAGCAGGGACGCCAGATAGCTAAGTACGGCCTAAAACGTATTTGATTAAATAATAGTAATACTACTTAAAAATTACTATTAGCATATATTTATAGCATTTCAGTGTTTGGTTTCGGAGACCTCAGTTGCCATGGTGACCCGTAAGGCGTTGGTGGTCAAGCTTTGTCCTAAAGGTGTCCACGGATGGGGCATGACAATTTCCACGGGAAGGGCATTCCATTCCTGGATTACACTCTTAGAGAAAAGGAATTTTCTTGGGTTAAGTCTTGCCCCAATCACCGTCCGTCCCCTCCCCCATATCCGGTATCATGACAGATTCAACAAAACGGGGGAAAGGGTCGGATACAGGCGACACAATTATAGTATTATAGCCGGCTGTGTCCCGGCCCAGCAGGGTTCAGGTGCAGGTTGCTGGCGCCTCGCGAGCCTGCGCTTACGCGTGCTCCCACGCCTATATACGACAAAATAGCAGTTGGGAATCCGCTAATAGAGTTGACCCTAACGGCTGCGATCCTGGAGGCCTACTTCCTTAGGAACAGAGAGGAGTCATGGGATAGTGGAGTGGTAGGAAAGGTGTTTTCTGTACAGAAGGATA